CCCCCCCCCCCATCCTGATTTGTTGCACCACCGCGAGCAATCGCGTCTTTTTCCTCCTTCTTTCGTTCTTTCCTTCGGGAGATGCAACACCCCTCGTGCGCGTCCAACCCCGAGGCGCGTCCTTGCCGCGAGAGAAAAAGGCGTCGTTCCTCTCGTCTCGCTTCCGTCCACGCCTACCACGGGTAGGCCTCCTTTTGTTTCTCACTTTTTCGTCCCTTTTCACGTACGAGGACCGGTCAGACGATACCACGTAAAACATGGCTCCCTTTCTCTCTCTCTCTCTCCCTTCAGCTGAGACAAATTGCTCGCGCGTCCTTCAACCCTCTCTCGGCGATCGGCGTACCTGAGCTAATTGTAGCTAATGCGGCGATAATGACAACTAACGCGATTACCGCGTATTTTTCCAATTCTCAGGAGATACATTTTCTCATTGGATACATCGGTTTATCTTTTTATCATTTTACCGCACAATTGGGGTCTACCCACTGTAAAATAGCATTCGGTTTGTTGAGATTGCGCGAGAAACAACAACGTCCGCATGAATTTCAATGCGCGAAATAGCAGTCGCGCGGGTTTACTCGTTGGTTGGAACTCGGGCGAAACTGGAATGGCGGCGCGCCGGATATAAACATTTATTATTCTCTGTGCAGCGAGTACTAACGAGGTCGTGTATAATACCGTGAACCCTCCACCCCACGCCTTCCTTCTCTGTCGCCGTGTTTATGTACATGTTCCGTGTGACGTTAGTAATTAAACGATGCATTATCACTGCGCACGTAGCGGCGCGTACTTATTAACACAATAACAGTGCGACCCGTCCTGGAGTATCAGCGGTGGTGGTGCTACGTGTGGTTTCACGGCGACGGGAGTAACGTTACGGGATTTACGAGCTGTCGTTTCGGCTCTCCTTCAACCTATATAACTTATATCGCGCGCGGAAGAGCCATGTGTGTACAAACCGGGGTTTCCCCTCGCTGCGGAAGACCGTCCCCGACGGAATGTCGAAAGGCCAATAGCTTCGGATTACGAATCGCTTATAGTCACGATAGAGAAAAGACGGTGGTAATCTTCACGAGCTGAAGTTCCACGCTTTCAACGAAACCCGAATCGAAGTCTTGGTTTAATTTAGTTCTACGTTAAAAGGCTTTCTATTGCGCTACGAATGGGGAAGTTTTTTCCATCTCAATGTGGAAGTAAAATTTAGGCTCTAAATTCCTTTTTCGTAACACTTGATACAAGTGGGAACTTATTTCTGTTTGTTCCACTTGAAGACTTTACGTAGAATTAAAAATTTCGGCTCTGAAAGTGCTACGAAAATATAGTTGTATACGAAATTGACCGCCGGTCAGATTTTGTTCTTTCCGAAGAGCACCGAACATCACGTGAAATCGTATCGCCTGTTGACGTGTCGCGACGTTCCAACGCGTAATCGACCGGTCATCCGCAGTTAGTTTTCGCGCACGTGCACCTTAATACGACGTGTGATTTATACCACCGCGTGCTCATGGAGAGCCAACCCTCCGTGGGGTACTACTCCCCTCGGCGATAACTCCAAAGGGGGGTGGTATTCGTCTGGCCCCTTTTACCGGTGACGCGTAACGGCGTTTCTCCTCTTCACGTGCACGCTTCGGCGTGGCAGGTGTGCACATGACGCAGCACACCGCGCGCGAGAGTCGTTTAATTTATTATCAACCCTTTCATCGCCGATGTATATTTCCCGCGATGCGCGTGCTCCGAAGGTGTGCGCCGCGAAAAAGAAAAAAAGATATCTTTCTCATGATCGCAATCGGATTCAATTAAGTGTTCAGTTGAGAGAAACCATATTTCTTCCAAATTTCCGCTCGGATCACGCCTTTCGTTTTATATAATTTATTAATTATACCGATGTAAGAACGAATTAGTTATTAATTCTCGAGACTGGTATTCGAAGATGCTCATGCTGTTGTCTTTTCTGTTTACAGGGTACATTTTCGCTGATAGTGGAGGCTTATCACGATGCGAACAGCACGCAATCGACCGGTGAGTGTCTTTTCCCTCTTCATAAATTTTTTAATACACATCTCATCTTATCGCGGCACGAGTGAGAGCTTTCGCACACGCGCGCATAAAAAGCGGCGAAGGATTATCGTAAAATTAGCCCCGGGAGCGGCGATACGCGCGTTTTTAAGACGATTAGGAGGCAGGAAGATCGTCGGTTGGTCGCTCGATTGGGCATGTGTGGTCCAGCTGGCCCGTGAGAGAGAGAGAGAGAGAGAGAGAGAGACGCGATGTCTCGTGTGACGTGGGCCAGTCAAGAGGGCGCTTCCGGTCTCGTTCTAGGCGTGACACTCTCCAGAGACGACGCATCCCCTTCTCCATTTCCTTTTACTTCGTCAACTACCTCTTGATCCTTATCCCTTTAAAGTTTCCGCGGCGAGAGAGAGAGAGAGCGGATCGATTTCCCTCCGGCGCCGTACTTGGCTGTCGAAGCTTTTTCATGTTCGATTTAAGTAAACGGCCGTTTATTATCCGCTATACGTAAAACAGGGGTAATGATATACAATTTGAAGTATTGATATAATAATAATAATATTTCTTTATATTGAATACATACTTTGCGTCTCACGTTTCATTATATGAACGGTGCGGGTTAAAAAAAGTTATGCGCGGAAAGAGAGATAAAATGTATAATTCTTCTACATGAAAAGATCATGAATATTATGTACCGCGAGAAAAAAACGGGAATGCTTTCGTTGTCGCGTTTGCGAATGCCGTCGGAAATTCACGTCGCGCGTTTCACAGTGACACACTTCATTTCTTCGGTTTCACCGAGTCTAAACCGTGACAATTTGCGAAACGTTTTCGATTTCACGTGTATCCGCAGGACGGCAAATCTTGCGACGACGACGACCGGTCGTTGTTCCGCGAACAATCGTCGCGTTTTCATTGTTCTATTCAGCCTCTATTGCCTCTGGCCGTTCCTCTCGTTAGTAACCGCGTTATTACGGCAACGCGTCTCCGTTGTGTCATAGCGTTGTGTCGGCTCAATGCGGGAGAGAGGAAAGTGAGAGCAAGGAGAGGAGAGACGGACACCGGGCGGCGGCACTAGTGTTTCCTTCCTGTGTAACCGTAGTACACCCACCGCACTGTAGTAACACGACACCGAGTATATACTGGCGCATCCAATGTACCTAACCTGACCTCACCAATTGTACGCGTCGTTCCTCGACGACCAATTGGAATTTCGGACGGGCGAGTTGGCTCGAATCTAACCTAATTAACGAGCCTCGAATGTATGTATGTTTAAACATTCCAAGAGAAGAGAAATTTTTTTTTCTCGATTACTCCGACCTCTCGACTCGATTAGGCTTCAATTAAATTAGCATAGACCTTCCGCGCCTCCAGCTTTTCGGTCTCCCTCCGTTTCTATCTCGATCCGACCGATCGCGGATTCCAGTCGTACGGGCGCACAATGTGTAAAGTAAAAATCGCACACACACCCGCCCGCGAACGGTTCTCTGTACGCATTCGCGCGCAGGTAGCACACGCATCCGCTTTTTCTGTTCACTCTCGAGACCGGCTTGAAAACGGGGTAAGAAGAGCGAGACCGCTTAATTTCTTCCTCGTGAGGTCCCCCCGGCCCCCGGTAATTAGAATCGGCCGACGGGAGAGAGCGGAAGCTGCTCTCATGCGTGTCACACGCACACGCGTGTCGCTCGCATCACCTATGCGGCCAATTAACCGAATTTAACTGTTTCGGCGCCGACTTTGTTCGATCTTACAGGCGTGCATCGCCGTTATTTATCTTCCGCGTGCTTCCCCGGACGAGGAAGCGGTTCGGCGAGTTTGCATACAGAGTTCTCGGGGAAGTACATTTCAGTGCTCGGGTCGGATATCTTGGCCCGGGGAACAAATCAGATCGTCGAATGTTCACGTGTACATACACACGTTTACGAGCTTTCGCCGGCTCGAGTCCCCGAAGTCGCAAAACGGCGGCGGCGAGTGTTAACGATCACGGGCTTGCAGCCGAGCAAGAGTGTCTTCTGGGTTTTATCGCCGGTACACACTGCTTACCTTATACGCCGCGGGGTCTGCGATTCTTTTCCTAGCGCGCGGATGTTGTGTATGAAATCATTGGCGTATCTGTCGCTGCTGTTTTCTCGCTTGGCGCGGTGATTAACCCGGTCCTACAACGTTGCGAGAATTATCGGCTGGATTGATTTTTATAACGACCGCGACTGTATTTTATTTCACTGTGTTCGATGATATGACTTGCTTGTAACTTCTTTTTTTAATTTTAACGAGAATGGATTCATTATATTAAACCTGGTAGAAATTTCATGCATTTTTCAAGCAGTTATTGGATAATTTATTAACTTCTGTCTAGCAACTGAGGAGTAAAGCTACTTAGTGAGGAAGACTATGCCCGGAAATAAAATGATCGAAAAAAAAACGCGATGTATAAATACGCATTGAGATGAATTGAAACTGAAGGGGAGGAGTGTGCGGCATGTAATCCGCGCGACAGGTAATCCGGATATAGCCCGGGCATTATCGCGGATACGACGGTCGCTTACATTGTGCCGAGCACAATATAATACGCAGCGGCGAAACGAGCCCTTTATTGCCGCGTTGCTCGGATGCTGCTTCCTTTCTCAGGCGAGGCTCCACCTCCCCCGCCGTCGCGTTCCCTTTCGGGCGACCCTCTTCCTCCTTTCCGCCACCACCAACGCGTAGTGCGTGCGTGTGCGCCGGTGCACGCGTCACGCCGCACCTGCGCTCGGATAACGCGCGTGTCGCGAAAATTTCGTGGGAACTCGCTCGCCGCCGCTAATTGCTCCGCCGGCTTTCCTCAAGGACGACCGGCGCGCCGTTGATTGAGATCCTCCGTCGGGTCGAGTAAATAAATAACTTGTGACGCCGAGATATACAATTTATTTCGAGATCCCTCCGCGCCGTCGATTCTCGTCACTTTCTCGAGATCGACACGTGTGTCAACTCGAGAAGAGTCGCGACGTGTCACTCGCACCGCGCCGCAAAGTGTGTTCGAACGGAGCGCGTAAAAATAAGGAGGGCTTTAAATAAATAAAAAGGGGAAAAAAAGTATATCGCACTCTGTGCTTTGCGCACAAGTCCTTCTTTTTCCGTTCCGGTGTATAATTTTATTCCCGTCGGTGCGACGTTATTTATAAATCTCGGCGGCGCGCAAGCCGGGTGTGGGTGTGCGCGTGTGTGTATGTCGTCGCGCCCGAACGATTACACGTGTTGATAAAAGCGCGGCCGATGCGATCGATCCCCCCCGGTGTGTTGTCGCGCGATTATTATACGCGAACCAGTTTCCTTTGTCGCGCTAATGACGGCGCTCACCGAGACATCCGTGTGCTTCTCCGTTTGTTGCGCTCGTTTTGGTAAGGCCGATCGGATTACTACTCTTCCTTTCCTTCATTCATCCGGCGTAGTAGCGCCACGATGGCAGGAGGAAGAAGGGAGTCTTGCTCGCTCGACTGCGCTATTATGAAGTACGCGTTATGGGATAACGCGCGCGGTAAAGTATTAAATAGAGATCGCGATATACTCCAGCCGAGGTACTGTTAAACGCCTCCTTTAACGCCGCATTCAGGGAGGAGAAGCGCGTGTAACAACTGCACAGCCGTCGGTTCGTTAACTGCAGCGCTCCTTAGAGTTAAGCGCGTATCTTCCTATGAGATCTCGCAGATGCTTCAACGAGACGCGGGATTTCCCTTCGCTCGAGATCGATAGAGCGACATTCGCTCGTTGCAGCGTAATCTAATTGAGGCGAGGTGTAAGTCTCGCGTGTATGTAACGATAGCTACATTTGTTTCCGTTGGACGAGTGGTTCTATTCATTCCCAATTGACACGTCGGCTCTCCGCAATGCGTAGACGCACTCACACAGTAGTCGCGGCTTACGTCACCGCCGATTGTCAACCGCTTTTCCCTCTTTCTCTTCCTCTCCTCCCCGCGTCGAGACACCGTTGCGATGCACCTGCCTCCTTTCGCATGATAATAACGACGGCGATAATTGGCCGCTCCTCTCCACGTGTCAACTCTGAGAGAGAAGAAAGGTCGGATAAGACGCGTTTTACTTCGCGATTGAAAAGTTCATTCGATGACCTGATCTACTTTCTCGAAGCTTTGCGAAAATTAGGTCTGATATAGTTGGAATATCATAAAGTGTGTGTGTGTGTTAAATATACATTTGAGGATAATTAGAAACGCGTCGGTTCGTGTATGTTTCATTAATTAATTTATGATAATGAATCTCCAATTAGAACTGTAATTACTGAATTGAGATATATTAGACGCAACGTTAGGTCAGAGCCGCAGCCCTTATTTTCGATGATTTCAAGCGGTCGTTTCGGAAGTTAATTTTCGTCGGGCTCGATTTCGCTAAATAATCGACGTTTTTTTCACACGAGAAACAACGCAGCGCTGCCGCTCTGGCTACCTGCCAGTACTCCTCTCTTTCGCGTGGCTATCCTTCTTCGTTTCTGAATGAACAATAGAAAATGTCTGCGCCGGCGCTGCGCGTCGTTAATGAATACCTTGAATCGGTCTGGCCTCGAGCACGCCGGCTGTTTACCGAGTGTGTATACGCGGGCGGACCGCGGTCAAGTAGAAATAAGCCGCGGCGACAGCGGGTAACGTCCGTCCTGATATGTTTCCGGTAGGAAATTGTAACGTCGCTGATACGTCACACCGGTAGTGCCACCAACAGACATTCATTCTCTTCATTGCATTACGCAATTTTCTTCTTTGAATTTAAAACAAACATCCACCCTGTGGGTGGTCGTTCGATCGCGGAAGGAGATGCAAGTTCGCGGCGATGTCGTTTCCGGCGATCAATTAGACGGTACAACCCGTTTCCCTCGCCGCCAACGATCACCGGATCGATACCGCTGCGCGTTATTTGGAGCAGCTCGGGGAACGAACGTGGTGTAGCCGGGGCGCGCTTATCCGCTCGTAGCGTGCGAAGATCGGCGTTTTCGGAACTCGTAACAGCATCACCTGGGAAGATAGCCCTGCCTCTCTCTTTTATATATATGCATACACATGTATGTATACACACAGCTCTATCTCTCTCTTTCTCCTTCTCGACTCCCGTTTCGCCGACAGCGAAACGCCACTTCCCTTCTGGGAAGAAGCTGGTCTGGCTCCCTCCTTAAGTATCCTCGGGCACGCCATCGGCGAAAACCTTCGTCCTTTTGTTCCCCGGTCTTTCTTTTCCTCGCTCGCTCCTTCGTTCTTCCTTCTCGACGCCGGTACACAGCGAGCGCGCACATTGGCGTAACCGAAGTGGTTCCTCCCGCAGGCGGACGAGTGAATCGGGTGACAGAGGAGGTGTCGATAACAAGTGTCTTCTTCTTACGGAATTTCCTCGAGAATTATCACGATATGTTATTTTTAGCAACGCCTGAAATTATTTAGCCGATAAAGTATAATTTTCCGCTGATATTTTCCTTCAATTTATTTTCACACGAGAGACAGTTTACCCTGATTAAAATCCCACGTTATTAATAATCCGAATTTTCTAACTTACTACTAACTAACGACAGAGAAGAAAAAAAGTTTATCGGTGGCAAGAGCGAAAGTGACTTTCTCGCCACTCCTCACACAGGAAGTCGCCCCCGTTTCCTATTCATGTCAGGAATAATAATCTGGAAAAACCGATCGATAATGATTCCGTGAAACACGGACCGTGGGAAGTTCGAGTTATCATTGGCGACCTCTCGTCACCGATAACCTTCGAGCGATAGTCGTCAATCGGACGAGTCTCTCAGATCACGGCTACGCTACTGACCTTACCGCACGCAACACATCGCGATGGACCGGGCTGAGTACGCTACCGGTTCGACGCACGGGACACCACGCGCGTGCACCGAAAACCGGTGCCGTGAGATGCAGGTTCCCTTCGGTAGGGCACCTGATCGCACACAGCCCCGAATCCTAATCTACCGGGCTATTACGATAATGCGACCCGGTATAGGAAGGTGTGTAGTTCCTCCGCTCGCTCTTTCGTTTACACGAAAACCAGTAGACACCGGACGAAGAAGACGAAAAAGAGGAGAGGGAGAGCGGAGGAAGGACGCCTCTTTCCCAGAGCCGCAACGTGGTTATACGCTTACTCTCTTTGTGCCGGATGCGTGCCGCCGACAGAGTAGCAATAGCGGACGAACGTCCGGTCTACCCTCTCGCTCTCTCCGGAGGCCGATGCACTTCGATCGCATCATTGGGTGCAGCTCTCTGTCCCAGTGCTGGACGTGGCTAATTACTTTCGCATCGCGCCTCATTGTTGCCTGGCGTGTACCGTTAATTCGGCGATTAACGTTTTTTCCGGCCTAACGATCGGGCTGATGCGTGATACAGGATAAAGAACACGATCTCTAGAATTATACGACGTATCTATTATTACACTACCTGTCACTTTCTATCGGACATCCGTAATACTCTTGTGTTGTTACGACCTAACTATGGACATTGTTTTGCTTTTTAAGCACGAATTTTTACTCTTGAAAATATTGGATTGGAGAATGTGTCCAGGCACTTTACCTCGCGAAAGAGACACTCGTCGCTCATCACGCGTCGTTGCGTTGGGTGCTTTCAGAGAAAGTGCTGATCAGCAGACTGACCACCCAGAAATGGCTGGACGTCGGGCAGGAGTGGACTGTGGACGAATACAGGAGTGCCCACGCGCGAATGGAGTACGAGTACCGAGTGAGGTGCGTGGCACATTACTACGGCAAGGGCTGTGAGAACCTGTGTCGGCCGCGAGACGACAACTTCGGCCACTACAGCTGCAGCCCGACCGGGGAACGTGTCTGCCTCACCGGTTGGAAGGGCGACTACTGTAACTCCCGTAAGTTTTATTACACGCACAGAATTGTTCATAATACACGCGACTGCACGCGCGCCGGTCTCTCTTCACGCGATCCCGAAGAATTTCCGAAAAATTATTCATTAGTATGATAATATTCGCAAAGTATGCCAATATCGATTACAATATAATAATAACATACTATTTACTAATTATATAATATGTACGATTACTAGTTTTCCGCGAATAAAATAAGCGTTAACGGAGCGATCGGCGATATTATCCAACGAGATTTCTCGGTTCGGCTTCGATCTCGCGTCTACTACCTGGCGCTGGCTGGCGCGGTTATTAACAGGCAGCAGCGTTGCTGCCTTCCACGATTCCTATCGACGTCGAATATGCACGCTACCTCGGTAAACGACGATACTCCCGCGAATCGCCGTTCCTCTCCTCTCGCGCGCGTTCACCTCCTCCGGGAGAGCCCGGCGTCTCGCCGGCGAAGGAGAGGCCCGTTGCAGCCGAAGCGTGCAGCAGCTTCCCACGCTTGGTTCGCGCGTGTGCGCGAATATCTCCCTCCCTCTCTCCTCACGACCCGACTGCAGCATCCCTCTCCTTTTCACTCTCGCGTACCTGCGAGAGCCGGCCGAGAACTAATCTGTGTGCACGTGTAATGATCCGAGACTGTGTGAGCGAAGGAGTCGACCAGGCGAAATCTGCCTTCGTGTGTGGCTCTCTCTCTCTCTCATTTCTTTCTCCTTCTTTCTCTCGACTCGATCGAGACTCTGCTGTGCGAGTCGAACAGGATGGTCGTGCCTGTTGGCGGAGTCACAGTTGCCGAAGCTTCTGGCCTCTCTTGGGTATGTACAGGTACGTGACACCTGGTGGTGCCCGACCGCGCGTTGTACCTGTACAAAAGGTGGTTTTCACTCGCGGGAGGAAGCGCTCCCTTAGTTCTTTAGGGAAGTCGAACCCACCAGATTGCCGAATTGTCTGGTGGGACAATAGCTTCGGTGTCATCCCATCCCGGGAAAGGAAGCGGCGTGAGTCGGACCCTGCGATATGGTGAAACGCGGGATTTGCGTTCGGGAAAATTTGCAATGGTTCTCAGCTGACTATTTCGTATTATTGATATAATAATATTGAGACGTGATAAAAAATTGATATTTAATTTTGCTCATTCGGTTTAACTGAAAATAATTTTTTTGCGTTTTTATGCGACCCGGCCGCAGTATCCACGTGGAATCGCGGATCGATAAGCAAATGTTGTTCCCGACCTTCGAGTTCGGCGATAAACGAAAGTCGCGCGAGCGTGATTCGATTACTTATCGGCGGAACTACCCGAACGTATTTCGGCGAGCTTTTCTCGCGCATGCCAATTTTGTGCGAATCCCGAATTCCAGGTTTTCTCCTCGGTTCTTTGGATCGAGGCGTGCGAGCGAGCGAGCGATCGAGCGATCGATCGATCGATCGCAGGCTCGCCGTGTGGGGCCCATTGGTTCCCCGGTCGTTGCACTCCTCTCGACTCGCGGCCGCCGATCGACAAAGTTCGCGCGTCGATTACTAATGGACTGCTCCGCTCTTCATTTCGTGGACATTCCCTGTCATTCGGCGAATCGGTCGCACACGGGCGGCGATGCGTGCCGCGGTTACATCGTGGCGATTTTCAGAGAGAAGGACGACGTGACAAAACATACCGATTTTTTTCTCATCCCACGCTCGTCGGTCGAGCAACTTTTTCACACCGTTTAAGCACGTGCCCATTTTCCGACTTTTCTCCACGTTTACAAAAGAGACGAGCCCCGGGCATTTTGGTATTCTCGAGCGACCCTGTTATATTCTGTAGTAGGATTATATAAAACTGAACGTTGTATTTCTAAAACGTATTTCCGGTATGGGTTTATAAAAATCCCCTGTAATTTTTATGTCTTCTGGCATGGGGGAGGGAATGAGATTGAATATAAAAATCTATAATTAAAAAAGAAATCATTTCTCGTTTCTCAGATTCATATTACTTTTTCAATGATATTGGCGGAAAGAAAAAAATTATTTCGAAACGCGCTTCCCAGAGCAACGCGTCGGTTGCGTTGCCGCAATATTCCATACGGTTATGCAGTCTAATGAGAAGTGGCAAAATCGCTGTCGCGCTCACTCGGGAAGCAGTCGGCCGCAAAACGTCGGGAAATACGACGATTTAAATCACGAGCGGCGGACTCTCCTTCGGAACGAGTCTCGCGAGAACAAAAGGACTTTCACTCCTTCGGAATCTGTTAAAACAGAAACACCCGCCAGATATATCTCGCGTTCTACTTCGCCGCTTCCGCGTTACATCCTCCAAAATTTCGGTATGTTGTTCTATTTTTTTTTGCATCACACTGTTGTTATTTTTCTTTTTACTCGTGTCAACAAATTTTCGACAAACCTTTCCGAAATGAAACATTGAATAAAATCATCGCGATGCTGTATTTTCTATTGCGACCTGCGTAAGAAGACTCGTTCTCCTCCGAACGCGTCAAAGATTTCTTTCACACGCTCGAAAGAGACCTGTCGTTTCGTCTTCACCTTCTCGTCTAGATTTCCGCCTCGAAGAGACCCATCATCGGAGCATCAGCCTCGCGACTGAATCATGCTCGGTCGACTGGCGCACTCTCCCTCTCGTTGCGCAGTCGCTTCGATCGCGCGACGAGGGTTAACTCTCTCCCTCGTTAACCCCGTCGCGAAAGGGTTGGCCAGGTCGGTGGGGGTTAAGAATAGGCTGCAGGCCTCTCTTTCGGGGGTGCCCGGGGACGATGTTATGTAGGGGTTGAGAGAAAGAGGGAGGAAGGGGGAGAGAGACAGAGCAGCTGCAACGGCACGGCCCGAAAGAGAGAAGGAGGCCCGTGCGAGTCGGGCCCTGACAGCTGCACCGAGCGAGAGGTCGGTGCTTTAACCAACAGCTGCGCCGGACTCGCGCGCTCGTTCACAGTCCACTTCCATCCCCCTCGTTCTCTCTTTCTTTCGCTGTCTCTCTCTATTATTCCTCTACATTGACGACCACGTATTTCCAACGCTCGTCCTTCCCCCTGTCTTACGTCTCGGTCGAGTTTACAGGCAGGTCACGTCGGTCTGTTTTGGAAACGTTCAGTCGAAGATTCGCCCGAGTTACACAAGCGCGTGTCATTTGGCGAAAAAGAGAGACAAAACTGTGAAAAGTTGCGCCTTTAGGGGATTATGGTGATTTTTATGAATGAACACAGACTGGCGAACAGTTACGGTGGTAGCCGTTCACCGGAAATCCGAAATGTATTATTAATGCGAGTCCGCAGTGTGAAGGAAACTCTCGTTCCTACGAGGTTTTAAATGAGCGGTCGTGTGTTGTCGTAAACTCGAAAGATCGTCCCCTGGTGAGAGAATGACCGTGTCTTACTGGCTGTGCTGTTTGGCCGACCGTATTCCGACCAGAATTGACGCTAATTTGTCTCTTTTACGTGGTACGCGTCACAATGCGGCAGGTACACCACACTACCAGAATTACACACACACACCCTTCCGAAGAGGGTGGTCGGTGCCCCGCTTTACCGGTGCGCTCGCCCGCTCGCGACCGTTTCGACGAAGGGAAATCGGTTGGCCGGGGATAGAAAATCAATAAGTACGTTGCGGAACCGGGGGAATTCGGGGTGCAACACACACCGGCTGGCTGTTTCTCTCTCCCTATCTCTCTGGTAGGGGTTGGGCATTTAAAGGGAACCGTAGAAGTCAGTAGGTTGGTCAAGGAATATCACTTGCAATCATTTTATGAAGTTCACCTGGCCCGCATACAATTTCAACGCGGCTGTCGATTGTGTGACTCGTTGTTAATTTTTTTTACGACTGCTTCCAAAAATTGCTTTGTAATTTGCACTCGCATTGATATGAATTTCGGGGTTTATAGGTGGGCGGATGGAAAACAAAATCGTTTCTCGATATTGCAGAGGTTTTTATATAATAACGAACGTATTTGAATCGAATTTAATAATCAGCTCTCGACTGAATATTAATCACTGGCTCGAGCCGGTGACGTGAAAATGGAAACTGGGTAGTTAATATCGATTAATTAAAATGCATATTATAATCTCAATTACGAGATAATGTATAATCATCGGAGTGAAATTGGATTATTGTTATTATTCGTTATTGCAAGGCCGGCCTGATAATTAGTTTCCATCGTTTACAGCGTATTATGAAATGCAATTCGTTCCAAGAATTAGAGATAATATTCATTATCCCGAACCGTGTCGAGTTAATATCCCTGATATTCCAACGGATTTTCGAGGAACGGATAAAATTCTGGAGGGAGAATCTTCGACGTCTTCTTCTCGGACCGCTCCGGCGAGAAAGGAGGGTGAGAGGGAACGGACACCCGTCGGATTTATAGCCCACCTCGCGAGGATTTATCTCGAAAAATCGCACAGTCGCGGATCGGCCGTAAATAATCCTCCGGGGGCAAGATTTGTCGCGGCTTACGAGATTTGTTTAGTCACTCGTTCCACCCCTCCGCTCCTCCCGCCTCGCCATTTAGGACCTTTCTTCCCCGGCAACGGTACAAAGAAAAGATAGCGAGAGGGTCTTGTGGAATCTTTGCGATTCGGTCGTTCGTCGGCGATACACGGCGGAGCTGAAGAAGAGAGCGTATCTCGCTCTTCGCTCTATAAATACCATACTCCTTAGCGCGAAGTCGGGCCGTTGCGCTCGGTGCCAAGGTCACGCGGCCCTCGCTGGCCCTCACCGGCCGGCCCTGCCTTGCTGCTTGGGCCGCCGCGCGGAAACCCTTCATTCATCGCCGGCTTTTCGCGTTCTCCCGTGTCGGAAACGCGACCTCGGACGAGGAAAGAATCCGAACGGACACGTGGTGCGATAGATCGCCGCAAGGGCAATGAAATTGTGTCGGCGATGTGTGTCCAGTCCGCAAATATCCGCGAGGGGAGCCCTCGGTTGGCCGGTAGCCATGAGCGGTTCACACCTACAGGATTCGCTCGACGTTACCGAGTCGCACGTGGTGCGCGTCCCTCTCGCATTTAAGTGACCCGACCGGGGAGGTCGTTATTATTACGCTTCTTCTCGAATTCGACTGCCACCTGTTAACACCCTTCCGTTTCCTGCATTAATTATTATTATCGAAGGAGATACTCACAAAATTGCATGAGGCGATCAATCTGCTTGTCCTGATACGAGCTTAGTCGCGAATTACGTCGATTATCTCTGATAAGTAACGAAGGATGAGAACAAAGTGTTGAAATATAAAGAGAGAGACGAACTACCGTACGCGCGCCGGTGTATGTATCGTACCGTATTGCGCCGCTCGTGCAGTCGTGAGGGACGCGATCGACCTCTCGCCGAGAGTTGCCTTAACCTCTTGGATTTTTTCTTACTCATTTCAGCCCGTTGCCTGCCCGGATGCGACGAACAGCACGGACACTGCCAGCAACCCAACGAATGCCAGTGAGTACACACACGTATATCCGTGTAATATATATACATACACTTATGCAAACGGTGCGCCTCACCTACACACGTGCGCCCGTCTCGCCCCGTACAACTGCCAACTAAATTCCTGAGCCTCAACCCGGTGCATCCACTTCTCTATATGCGCGGCGCGTGTAATAATTACGCGCATATCTATCGTAAATTATCGTTCGAGGAAAGCGCTCGGGCCGATAAGGCGCCTTTTTTCTTCTTCCTCCACGGCACTCTCCGTCGCGAAATGCCGAAACACACCGGTGATTTACCGGTACTCGTACCGGTTCGACGTTTACGCGCTTCCGACCGTACTGCTCGACGCGTAACGCGCCGCGAATTCTGCGTTCGGAGAAAGAATTTACGATAGAATGAAATTTTGTTGCGATAGCTGAAATATTCTTGCTTATACATGAGCATCTATCGTTGATTTAAGACGTTGATGCAATGTATTTACAAGCAGTATGTTGTTCGCTCTGTAGCGCCTTCATTCAAACAGCTAATACATTTAGCTGCGGTAGCGTACAGAAAAATACTGCATTCAAGTAAATATTGTTTCAAGTTCATTTTATAAGTTCATCGTGAGTATCAAAAATTGATTTAAAATGCATTCTGAATCCTAGTAAGTTTAATACTTCAATTAAAAATATTAAATTAAAACGAGCTTACTTTATTAATCGAATGTAACTTTTCTTTAATATTCTTGAAAAGAGAATATATGTTTCTTTTGAGTACATGATAACGAGCTTTCCTAGATTTTGCGATGAGCACATTTGAAGACTATTGTCAAGAAAATAACCATTACTTAAAAGAAGGAAAGTGAACGGGGGTAATCGATTTTCTCAACAATAGAATGATATTTTCGCGACTAATTCCGAGTGTTAATTAAATTTAATTAACGATTCTCGCGTTGCACATTATCATCGTACGCATATTTTCGCATACTCGCGCGAGCGGTCAGGAAGGACCAAGTGGAATTCGAAGCTTCTCCTTCCCGTTGTAACGAGAGGCAGTTCCTGAGGTGCCAATCGTTCCTGCCCTTTCCTTCTTCGACTCGCGATTCCCCCTCACCACCTACTCCTCCTCTCCCTCCTCCATCGTCTCTTTTTCCGCCACTTTTCCCCCCCTCGTTTCTCCTCTCTTCTCTGCGCCTCGTGTCGTTGAACTTTCCGACTTAATTCGTCGCTTCGCGAAAACTTCGGGATCCAATCGGGGAAGATTGTTCGGTGTAACTTCGGTTCAATTTGAAATCGCGTTCCGTAAATCTCGAGAGGGAGATTCTTCTACGACGAATTTCAGAGCTGGCTCCATCATCCGGAGAAATTTCTTCGGGAAAAACACCGAAGAGTTAATAATCTTTCCGCGCAGTTCAACGTAATAAGACGCGAGCGTGCGTTCTTTTCAGCACGAAGTGCATCTAGGATTCACCCGTCATATCTTGGCCTCCTTTGCGAATGCGTCAGAATGTCACGCATTTCGAGACATCGTGTCGCGCCGGCACGTCGGACTCGAATCTCGGCCTATGGTCGGCGTTAACCCGAGGGTTTGGAGTTAACTCGATCATCTAATTACTTTACGACCGGGGTTAATTGTCCCGTTAGCCGCAGCCATGAGTTCGCCTGTCGTGTCTATTCGTTTTCTCGTCCCCGCGCGGATCGTCGGTATCATTTGCCGACATTTTTACAAACCCTAAAATGAAGATAGATGGATGCTTTTGTTATCATGCCGGGACAAATGTGATAAGATGTGTAAACGTTTGCGTCCCAACTTTCTTCTGATTTACCAATCACTCAATATCAACCTCGATTTTTTGTCGTAACGATAATAATTCGGGCAAGTTTCATTTTCTTGTTCGCCACTTTTTCACTATTCTTACGTGTCAAATAATCGGCACGCAGAGATTATCCGGAATAATATATGTTGATATTCCCGTTCTTTCTCGTTGCACGAGCCGTTCCTGAGCGCCGTCCCCGTTGAAGTCGGTAACGCCGCGAGGTTCAAAGTTGCACGATCGTGAAAGGAGGAACGGTACGGATTTTCCCGCACTGCGAAATGCGCTGCCTCGCCGTGAGTTCTCCGGCATGAATATCGAGAGTTTCTCGCGGCGGCGAACGCACTAAGCGTGCCACCACCGTGAACGCATAATGCTCGATTCGAGATAACAATTCGCGAGTCAATTCTTCACTTTCACGGCGACGTATCCATGACAAATAAATACGTATCTCTCTACATTCTTACGTTTGCGTAGAAAATTTGCGACTGACGGATTTCTGCACAAAAATACCCCACGATATGCGTATATAGCGTGATTTTATTAATATTATTATTTCATAGGTCGATTGTATAACATATATAACCATTGTATCATACATTGCTCCATCATATCTCATCGTTATCATACGACAGTGCATCGCGTTATCATGCGATACGATTCTCGTAGTCAAATAATAAAATTTGATAATCTCACGAGTGTAACGGAATTTGATCGGCGTTAACCTTGTGTAACGCGACAATAGCCGGAGACGCGGTGCTTTACACCGCCTCGCGATCGTAGATAATTACGTAGATTGCGGGGATAGAATTACGATAGCTCGTTTTCAGTCGTATGGCGTGTATTCGCGTATATACTCGGAAAGGACGATAACGATCGTTTCGAAGCGACAGGCGGCCGGCCGACCGGACGGACGAACTCGTGGGATATATCGGAGCCGCTCGTGATACGTGGAAGAATCACGGGCCTTTGGGCACCCCATTGAAATTTCGGTGCGGCCGTGTGCGTGCGCGCGGTGCGTGTGGTGCCTGAATACCGATGACGTTGCATCGCGGATACGGGGGTTAATAACGTTACATTCAATGTCGTACGAATCGAAATTCGTCGGAATCCACGAGAGTTTCAGCGACGTAAATCGGCAGGAGATTCGCGTGAACGAAAATTCTGCATTCGAAAGCAGCGCACCTGATATCGTTTCGGCACGTCGTTTAAATAACGCGCGTGCTTAAAGGTCAAAGAACGCACCGATATCGAAGACGAGTGTGTGTGTGTATGTGAGAGAGAGAGAGAGAGAGAGAGAGAGAGATCAATTCTCTCCTCCAGCGAGAAAGACATTTAGCCGAGCCCGCGCATATCGCGCGCGTGATTTCCATAACGGCCGACCGGAGCCAGTCCACCTCCTCCTCCTTCTACCTCGCCGGTGCATGACCTATCCCCCGGCGGTAATTATGGCACAGTCGCGATTCTGTTCCGCGGCCTAGCCACAAAGTAGAATGCGGGATCACGTGGACCGCTCTTCGGCTACACGTCGTTACCTGAAAACCCACCTCGTCTCTCCCAGCAACGAATAATCCGGCGGCACACTTCGCTTTCAACCCCCTTCGCCCAGTTTCTCATTTGTCCCCCGCTTAATGGTACAGTCATGCAGTTTCGCCCTCTCTCCGCGTTCTTCCCGAATTCGTCTATCTCTGTTAGACGAGAGAGGACGTATACGCGCGCGCGCGCAGTGGTGGTGGTGGGCACCGCGAGGCGCGCGCACACAGAGAAGCGTAACCTTTCCTTGACCCGCATACTGAACGGCTGTGCCGAGACTCGAACCGTGGGAACACACTACTCGACGACTCATCCCCCACCCAGAATTCTACCTCCTTCTACGTCGGTCCCGCGCGCCTCTCTCTCTCTCTTCTCCGGGCCCCCACTTCTCTCTCTCTCTCTCGGTCGCTGGCTCTTCAGGCTCACACCACCTTCCCCCCTTCTCTCTTTCTCTCAGCGCGCGGCGTGTATTCGTATACCGCACACGTGCTCGTCGCGCGCGTGTATGTAGCATCCTCTTTTCATTCCATCTTATCCTTTCTTTCTCTCTCTTCTTCGTAACCCCCGCATGTAATGGCCGACCGTATCCTCCTCTGGCATGCCACCCTCATCTCTCTTCGCCGGCTTTATTCGAGATATTCGCTTCCCTCCTTCTTCGGTGAAACTCGAGGGGGGAGCATGGGAAGAGCCGAACTTCGCGATTTAATAAGTTCAACGGATGAGAAGGAAACTTGGCTGTTGCAGATGTCACAGCGGCTGGAAGGGCACACTGTGCAATCAGTGCGTGAGGTACCCGGGCTGCCTCCACGGTAGCTGCCAAAAGCCCTGGGAGTGCGAGTGCGACGAGGGTTGGGGCGGGCTGTTCTGCAACCAGGACCTCAACTATTGCACGAATCACAAGCCCTGCGTAAACGGCGGCACCTGCTTCAACACCGGCCAGGGCTCGTACACCTGCTCGTGCCCGTCAGGTTTTACCGGCACCGACTGCCAGACGCCGCTCTTCGACTGTCACTCGAAGCCGTGCATGAACGGCGGTACCTGCAGCATGGAATCGTCCGGTAGCTACGCGAACATCTCGTCGTCGCACGCTGCCGGAAGCATCGGCTACCGTTGCACCTGTCCGCCCGGTTGGCGAGGCAGACACTGCGAGATCACGACGAGATCTTGCCGGGATTCGCCCTGCCATCACGGCGCCACCTGCGAGGAGGACTCGGTGCGCGGCTACGCGTGCCGATGCGCGGCCGGTTACACCGGCAACGACTGCGAGTCGCAGCTCGACGAGTGCGCGCCGAACCCGTGCGCGAACGGCGGCACCTGTACGGACTACGTGAACGGTTTCCGGTGTGGCTGCCCGCTCGGTTTCGCCGGCGAGCGCTGCGAGATCAACGTGGACGACTGCCAGGGCGACCCGTGCCTGAACGGCGGCACCTGCGTGGACCTGGTGAACAGCTTCCGCTGCCAGTGCGTGCCGGGATACGTCGGCCGCCTCTGCCAGGACAAGGTGGACTACTGCCTGGCGAAACCGTGCGCGAACGGCGGCAGGTGCATCTCGGGGACCAACGATTACCGGTGCGTCTGCAAGCCCGGCTTCACCGGCAAGGACTGCAGCGTCGACGTGGACGAGTGCCAGAGCGCGCCCTGCCGGAACGGCGGCGCCTGTCGGAACCGCGTCAACGGTTTCCTCTGCGACTGCCCGGAGGGCTGGTACGGCGACACGTGCGGCGAGGAGGCAGCGGGCGTCCTGCCGTCCACCGGCGGAGCGCCGCCCGCGGTGCCGCCGTCGGGCGCCAGCTACTGGTCCGGCAATCTGTCGAAGCACGTCGCCTCGGCGGAGGCGAGGAACGCCGGCCTCACCACCGAGCACATCGTGATGATCGCGACCATCTCCACCGCGGTGCCGGTCTTCGTGCTGGTCGCCATCGTCGCGGTGATGTGCATGAAGAGACGGCGGAAGCGGGAGCAAGCGAGGGCCGACGAGGAGGCGAGGCTGCAGAACGAGAGGAACGCGGTGCACAGCAGCATGAGCAAGCGCAGCGCCAGCACGATCGGCGCTGGCGGCCTCCTCGGCTCCGCCGCCGCCGCCGGCAGCGGCAGCGTCTGCGCCTTGGGTGCCGGCGACGCGCACATGATCAAGAACACCTGGACGGCGAACAAGAGCGTGAACAACGTGGCGTCGCGGCAGGACGACCTCGACTCGTCCTTTCAGACCGACGTGACGCTCGACAGCGCGTGCTCGGGTTACAAGCCGGAACCGGTGCTGCAGGACGGCAGAACGACGAGGACGACGAAGCAGTTGAACACGGAAGCAGCCGCCCACAGAGCGTCCGCTCACCTCTTCCAGAAGGAGAAGGACTGCCTCGACGGTGCCAAGAGGTCGTCCATGTTCGCCACCGGCAACGCGCCGGACGTCTGTTGCGTCGCGGAGGCCGCGTTGCTGAAGAGGCCGACGACGATATCGGAGGCTGGCGGCGGTAGTGGTGGTCCACCGGGAAGCGGCGGTGTCACGGACAACAACAGTTGCGGTGTGTACGTGATAGACGATCATTACAGGCATGACGCCGCGCTGGCGGCGACGCTCGCGACGGAAGTGTAGTAGCAGCCGGACTTTGTAGTAGACTCCGTTAGAAATTCTCGAGAGAAAGACGGTTCGTTTCCACACGGATCGACGGACTCTCGGTTTCCTCTTCGATTTCTTCGTTTTCTTCTTCTCGTTTTTCAAACCGCGAGAGAGAGAGAGAGAGAGAGAGAGAGAGAGTTTAGGTGGACGAGACGAAAGGACCGGAAGAAGAAACAACGCGATGCTGTGGGGGTCGGCCGGCGAACGTCGCCGACCCGTCTTTAGGTATTAAATATTGTATCGTGCTCGCGAAACTCTGTACAGAACTAATTTATTATTATTGTTATTTACTTATTCTATTAGGATTGCCCGCTATTAATTAATATTATTAATATTATTATATACCGTATAGCAGCATTATCATTGTTCCCGGTATTAGTTCTTTTTCGAATTTGCGTGACCCGAGCCTCGCTCGCGAGAGCTCTTACGTGTATATGTTGTGTGAGAGAAAGAGTGTGTGTAGTCGCGAGCGAGAAAGTTCAACGACGGATCAGCATCCTCGGACGACGTCGCCTTTCCGCGGGAATTAAGTGTTCTTTTTTTTCTTTTCAATGAGAGATGCATTCCCCCTTTCTTCGGACGAGAAGTAACGTCGCGCGGAGAACTTTTTCCGGTAAGTAGCGACTCGACGGGAAGGGAGAAGGGTGCTCGCTCGGCTCTTCGGGATTCTCCGCTTCGTCGACGGCTGCCCCGATGAGTCGAGTGACTCTTTCGCCGATTGAAAGGGCGGAACACAGTGTGCGGCGCTTCACGGAGTTTCGCCCTTTCAATCCGAAGACGCGCGTCAATTTCGTCATTTCTCTCGACGAAGGCGGGCATGGGGTAAAATTAGCGCGTAAGACCTAAACTGACGGATAGATAAGTAGGCTTTTGTAGGAGGATAAAAACAAAACGAAAAAAAAAGAAAGAAAGAAAATACCAAAAATACGAATGTGTGGAAGGTCCGTGTGAATTTTCCGACGACGCGTGTGTGTCGTTCGACGAAACTGCTCGCGCTAACGCACGGTTGAAGGGACGAGTAGATGTGTGTATAAATTATACAGATATTATATATATATATATGAAGAAATATATATATGTATGTAAATGAAGACTCAGTGAGAGACCCGTCGTCGTCGGCGGGCGGCGTTCCGAAGTGACTCGGTGCCGAAATTAGCGAGAGGGCGAGAATCGTCGTCGCGCGGGCGAACGTCGGACCTAACGCGGCCGATTTCTCCCATCCATGGCGAGTTCGATTCTGATAGCGGCAAGTAAGATTGATTCTTTTCTGACGCGAATTTCCAGATAGCACTCGGAGAATCAGGACTTGAAGTCCTAAGAGATGTCCTCCGGATAACTCGAGAATTTCTCTCGCAGAGGAAGATTTCTCGAACATCTCTTTCCTAGAATCCGACTGCATTTCCCGGAAACTGAGGAAGAATCGATCTTCCACGTTCGCTCGTACGCGGAAAGAGAAGTCGATTCTCTCTCTCTCGCGCGCGATCCGTTCGACGAGGAACGCCAGCGAGACCATTCGTCTTCTTCGACGGCACGCGCTCGCTGACTTCTACCGCGTGATAGATACGTGACAGTTATTGCGTGCTGTTGTCGCGATGTCGATGGTTAATTAATTAATTATTTATTCATATGGCTGCTGATTACGAACGCGACGGTTTTACACGGCGTAACAAACAAAAAAAAAAGGAGAGAAAAGAAAAAAAGAAGAGAAGTGGCGGTAGCCCGCCAATGATTACGATGCTAATGATATAATGATGATGTGACGTACGGAAGAGAGAAGTGCGAGTGTGCGAGTGAGAGAGAAAGAGAGAGAGAGAGCGTGAATGAGCGAATTGTAGCGAACAAAGATTCGATGATGTTCCTGTTACGAATAATGATAATTAAATAAACGAAAATGCAAGTATTCGACTAAGTCAGGCTTACGTTCGGGGTGTCTCGCGCGAGCGCATGGCGTTTTCGCGGCGGTGATCGCGGATCGATCGATCGTTGGTCCTCTCCGCCCGTACCTCCCGTCGCGCGCAACATAGCCCGATTAACGAGAAGCGCGTACGCGTATAGATGCGAGACGATTATATTGTACGAATTACAACGTGTAATAAAACTGTTGTCATTTTTTGTACTTACACTTCCATGGACGATTTGATACGTCGCTAATCGTTGAACGGTGTCCATTCCTGCTCGCCATCCGGTTCTTCCCCCCTCCCCCCCTCCACTTTCTTCTCAATATCGCGCGTTCGTCCGAATCCTCGTCTCTTTCCCTACCAGCACGACGCGCAACCGCGAAAATATCGCCACCCCCGCAGATATAGTGGCCTTTTGTTCGCGACGAGGCATTGATACGCGAAGATTGTAAAGACTTCCTCCCGCATTATCCCATTTTTGTATAAAACAAAAATAGAAGATAACACAACGTATACATACACAACACATACACACGCGACAAATCTGTATATTTGTAGTAGAAGTATACAATTACGATTATTATTATTAATTATTAATATTATTATTATTATGAAACATGTAAATAGATGAATTGTCGATATAACGATGTCCCGCAAACGACAGTGAACGATTAATAATGATATATTAAAAAAAAAGAACTCTGTTTACGTCTTTCTCCTTCCTTCTTCTTCAAACTCGGTATCAGACGAGTGTTTCGAGTATCCAGCTATCTAATAAGAATTTAATCCCGCAAAGAGCACGCGGGAGGTGTCCCACCTCCTCCTCGCTTAATGATGTTCTCCGCGAAGATTGCTCTCTGCCGAATGAAATGGGTCTCTCTTCTCACAGCTCTCGTCGCTCGCGAATACCGCGACGATATACTTTCTTTCCGGGGAAGTGCTTAATTCTGGGACACCTAATATTACTCACCCACCGAGCGCGCTTTCGAGGCCAGACCGAGCATCACGTTCGTCGCTATTTCCGTACTGTCGTCGTCTTCGTCGGCTAGCCGCGCTTAAGGAGGCAGGACACGAATGCACCGCGACGACAAAGGCCGGTGCAGCCGTTCGCTCGCTGCTGTGGGAAGATCGGCGAGAGAAAGGACCCGGTCAGACGACGGTGGCGCACGCGTCGAGGAGGAAGTCGCGGAACGACGGGAGATAGCGACGATAAGACGTACGTAGCCTTACGTAATTCCGACGACGTCGCGTCGTCAAGACTGCGACAGGTAGAGAAAATTTACTACAGAGTCCTTTCGTAAGGACGATTTCTCGAGGACCGTTAACCAGGGTTGCCGTAGACCTGGGAAAACCGTCGGGAAAATTAAATTGTCAGGGTATAAGATATAAAAGATCGCTTCAACTTTGCTCGTACAATTTCCCTCAATTATTCTTTTTTTCCATTTAATTTCCATTGGCCTAAATTTACACTTAGGATTGTACGTTACTAAACTTTTTTCTCTAATAATATAAGCTACTTCTCCTGCAATCTCTAAAAGTTTAATATTAGATATTGCTCGTGGAAAATTCTCCATCTGATTGGCTGTCGATAACAGTGAGTTCAGAATGAAAAAGCATCGATTCGGTACACCGTATATATCAGCAGAAACCGGAGAGTTTCGTGAGCAAAGCCGTGGAGGTGCCGAAGCCCATCATCGGTCGAGCTACCCACGACTCATCGTGTCGCGTTATATACGCGATGGTTATTACCTGCAGCGTTGCTGCTGCCGCAGACCCATTACGATTGCCGTGGCATTCTTCGTGTTTGTCCTTCCTCTCTACCTCTCCCGCCTACACCTTCCTACACACCCTCATCTTGTCCCTCGGCGACGACGCGTTCAGTCCTCTTGACTTTGCTCGTTTAGAAGCATCCCCTCCCGCCGCTATTTATCGTCCTGGCAGCAGAGGCGACTTGGCTGCCGATTCACTTCGCGAAATTCGAGCGCGATTTATGAGCGAACGAGCGAGCGATCGACTCGAGCACACTGCGTCTCTCCTTCCACGTGGCATTAGCGTCCATTTGCGCGGTGTCGTTTTATTTACTCTGTTAATCGAGAACGTTGCATTAGTCCGAGATAATAGATAAATCGGAGCGACGTCTCTAGTTCATCGCGGAGGAACGTTCGTTAGCGACGATAACAATGTCAGTCCCGGCGTTTCCGATAATTAGGCGCACCGAGATGTGAAAGATTGATCGGAAGTGACATTAATGAAATTCCATCACTTCTATTTCTGAGAATGTCCAGGAGCAAAGAGAAGAAAATAGGCAGAGAGGAAAGAAAAGTCGGCATAGATCGCGTTGCTTCGATCTGGCAAAGCAACGACGCGAGAGCGTCAATCGGCGAAAACTGTCGCCATCGATCGGCCACCCTTCGCGCGATCTCGCCGCGCTTCAGCGGCCACGAGAACCCACGCGATCGTTACCGCATCGACACCCGTCCACAAAATTCGGTGCCGCCGGACGTCGATCGGAAGCAACGGTCTGAAAAATTGCTCCGTGTCGTACACGTAGAAGCTGTCGTCGACGAGCGAAGTAATCTTTCGACTCGAGGTATTCCGCGTGAATCGAGAAAGACCGTGCTGGTGTTTACTGAGAATTTGTTCAATTTGTGGGGAGTGATTTTCGGACAATTTCCCTCTCTCTTTCGCGATCAATTTCCCTCTCTCTTTCTCTCTTACTCTCCAAATTCCTTCGAGTGAAATTCCACTCTATAAACTTTTAAATAAGATCTTTCATGATTGTTGCTTCCATATAAATCAATATTATTTCTTTCCAAGTATTACGTTCTTAAAAGATATTGTAGAAGAATTTCATCTGCTTGATAAATAGTAAATTTATGGGAGATCGCCTTCGATGCGCCAGTGAGCGAGCCTCGTTAATTAATAGACTAAAAAGTTAAAAAATAATTCTCCGTAGGAGTACATTGAAATTCCAAGGATTATTTCCGTCCTGCTTGTGCACTGACTCGATTACGACGCGGGAGAGAGAAAGATACTTATTATTTGTCACAAGCGGAAGTTACGGCAACTTTAGATCGCATCGATGTATTTAGGTGAAGATGCGCGAGGAGGACGGTCTTAGTGCTCGTAAACTCGGCACGGCACCAAAGCGGAGGGCAAGTGAAAGTCCTTCGAGAGACACAGAGAGCCGAGAGAGACGGCCTCTTACTTTTTCGCACTTGTGGTGCACGTGTGCTGTTATACTCGTTTCCTCCTGGGACGAGACAGAGCTCCCATTAAAATATCGACCTTTCCGCCGAACACACACACCTGCGAAAAATGTCGGTTCTCACATTCGGTTTAATAACGATTGCCGAAAATTGCGCATCTAGAACATCGCTCCTGATTTAACTTTCGCCCCACAGAGACGCAAATAGTCGTATTAGCCGGCGATTTCCTCGGTTAATCGCGCGAGATCGGCGCCTCCGCGTGCGCAACAGTCCAGAGAGAAAGAGCGGCTGCAGTCGCGTTAAAGGGGCGCATCCCGATATTACCGGTCGGTTGTAGCGAGCTAAACGAGCGCGCGTAAAAAACGGGAGCAGCCTCCTCTCTTCGGTTCGGGAACGCTATGCGAAACCGTCCGCCCGTCGCGGTCGGTACCGGCGAAAAAATTAATTGGGCGGATGTAATCCGACGATTCCCACGATTCGACTACGCCCGGGCGCTCGGTGTGTGCAGGTGGCGGACGATGTACATACGAATCGACGATGATCCGGTCCATTATCGTCGGGGCGCGCGCGCAAATCGCCTCTCTCGTACACCTTTTCGAGCCGCTCGCCGATTGTGTCTCGTCCGTTTTTGATCGACAAACGGAAATCCGCGCCGCGCTGCCCCGCTGTCCCACGACACCGCCTCGCCAAATTGCATGTCCCCCCGCGAACATCCGGATGAGCCTCTCCACCGGACTGATTTGCGCTGTACGCAAATAGTACGACGAGTCGGCTGACTTGAAGCAAAGCGGGATGAATTAATTGCCGGCAAGCTAATCGAGGGAATGGTATATATTTACTTTATTCAACGCTAACGATTACATAGCGCCCTTCGACGTCCTGCGATGTTCGCACATACGTAGGGTCCTTGACCACATCGTTATTTTTCATTTTAATCAATTTATAACGCGTTATCAGAATTTTCGCATTACGATCGATGCATCATCAGCAGACGGTAGAAGCCAGGCAGTGGATTATAAGCACAGCAAGATTTATAAGGTGACTACTTATTACAAACTTTCGAAAGATTAAAATTGAATATCTGAGATTCTTTAGATCTATCCCATCGCTGTAATTAACTTGGGGAATTATTTCTCGTTTCAGGTTATCCAGCAGTTCCTGCGGACGTAGATGGGATATCCAGGGATCCGGTTCAGGGTGAGCTTCGGAGTCGCCTCGAAGGTAGACTATGCGATTCTGTTATTTCGATAATTCGCGATTTAATCTCACCGACACAGCAGATATTTTACATCAAAATCTAATAAATAGCGAAATATTATAATGTAGTGTAAAATATTATAATATAGAATTTAATATGCATGTTGTATAACTTAACAGATCGTATAACAGGGCTTTACGACTCGGCATATTGAAGGTCACGCGATTTTCAAACAACAACATAAATATATATATAGAAAAACGTGTAAATACGCGTACTGTTGTGACATATTCGAGGATACAATAACCTTCGACACATTGGGAGCCATCGTGTGTGCTACTTACGATTTTTCTAAATTAATTAGAACACGTGAAAGTGATTAATCATGATACTTCACGGGCTCATCGTTCTGAAATTAAAGGAGTAATTACCACATTTAATTAATATTAGATTTAAGGAAAAAATCACATCACAATCTCATCAAAAACCTCCTTATCCTCTATCGTCATAATCAGGGAAATTGTTTTCTGTTTGGCAGAAATTTGCGGCGGATTCGCACGACGGATTCGAGGGACTTTCAGAAGCCGGTCTTCTTGTTCCGGGAGAGGAGTACGTGCGGTGAGTGAGAAAATACTAACATATGCGCATTTCGATTTAATATTCACCCGTAGGACGAGTATTCGAGACGGACAAATCTCTCTCTCTCGAGAAGGTATCGCGAAAGTAACTCGCGCGATCCAATATTCAAATGTTACTCGACATATGAAAATTTTCCCGTTATCCGCCGCAAAGCGGGATAAGTCCACCCGTGCAACTTTGACGCGATGATGCACGAGGAGAACGAAAGAGAGAGATGCCTCTCTCGCTTTGCGCTTCTAATCGTTCTCTCGCAGTCATCATCCGTTACGGCGAGATCGCCGTAACAGTAATTCCTAGAAAATGATTATGGGCGAACGCGTAGGTGGCCGCGTGCGGAGGATTTTCCGAGGGTGAAGGCGCCTCTCTCGGCCGTTAACGTTCACTCGCGCGTCCGTTCGTTCCTGCGAGCGATCCTCCGCTGACATTTGGAACTCCGCGCACACCTTCACGCAAAGTATGCACAACTTCGACCCCCACCGCCTTCTATCCCCCTTTCTTGTGTGTCGTACGTTTAAACGATCGAGTCTTAACGGTCTACCACCGCCGCTGCCGGCTTTACCTACATTCTACGAGCGCTGCATGCACGCCGCAACGCGCGTTAATGGTGCATTCACGCTCCCTCCGAGCGCAACGTGATCATCCGCGACCCGCGGTGAATCCAGCTCTCGAGGTGCAGGCAGGTAGAGAGAGAATCCTGTTTCACGTTGAATTTATTTTCGAGTTACCGTCTATATTTTGATCTTTCCAATTAGAAACGAACGTGTAATATTCACGAATGGACATCGCACTGAGAAAGAAAACCAAAAAACTGGTTCACTTGGACGAACGTTTTTCTCCAAGCGCGATGTTGTACTGTAATGAATTACCAATTGATTTGGTCGGCAACTATATCAACATAATTCTGTTGGACGATTTTTTATTTTTCAACGTATGCTCTCGAATATAGTGCGCGTATCTTCGCGATCCATTATGGGAAATCTGGATTCACTCTACTTATCGATAGCGAACGGGCATCGCGGTCATTAATGACTTACGCTATACTCGGACGGAAAGCACCGCGAGGTCAGCGCGCCTTTTTACGACCGCGGCTAAGAACCGGACCCGCCGGCGCTTCGCTACCTTTTGACCCCGCTCGGTGCCAGATGCGAGGAAATGGTATTTCGCGAGACCGCGCTATTGATACCGGCGCGGAATCGTCGCGCGACGAATGCGTGATATAACCGGTTTGAAAGAAATTCAATTCTAATAATACAATATAATCCTTATTTTCATCATATCTTCGCTGTTTTAGCGTGAAAATAGCTTGTTGAAAGTATCATTAAAATTCATCTGAATTAAAAGTTCGAGGGAGAAGTTAAAAAGTAGGTGTTTATTAGTCTATATAGACGCAAACTATTCTTAAGAAGTAGATCATCGAGATTTCGACTCACATACATAAGTGTCTATTTATGTGAAGGAAATATCACATTGCATATATTTGCCAAGGAATATATCAAATCGACCATCTTACTTGGATCGGAAGTAAAGATTTCCATGCTTTCGTCATAGGTTCGAACGAAGTTGAAAATTCGAACACGGGGGTTCTCTCTGAAAGTGACGGATAGGATGCCTCTCGTTATTGCGCGTCCACCGACGCGTGCTTAATACTCGCGCCACGACTTCCACGGCGTATCACTTTGTTTTTACAGTTAGCCGAGATCGCGCTTTATATCTCGCGGATATTGTGCGACGCTAATCCCGCCGTTATCGAAATTACTTCCATAAATTAATACGATCTCCCGCGCGTACGTTGAGAATCGTGCGCTGTTGCGAGGTCGGGACCTCTCGCTTTTTCTGATGCGAGAAACCAGCCCCGACCCGAGACGGTGTACCTCGCTACCTTCTGACCTCTCCGCCGGGCGCGAGGAGGAAAGTCGATTTTCCTCCCCGCTTCGTACGTTTACACAGGCGGTTATTAAGTTTAGATTCCCGCGTATGCACGTTCGTGCCGCGAGAAGAGAATTTTTTCGAACAAGGAAGCGATCTCTCTCTCTCTCTCTCTCTCTGTATCACATATTACTTCGGCGAAAAATTCAGACGAGTTATTCGAGTGTGTAGTCATCGGAGATATCTTTATCTATATCTTTTCGGACGGCGAATGGTGGATATACACCGGCTGCGTAATCTCCTCGTAATCGAAAGCGACGCAAAGTATTAATAATAGTCGAACGGGGAGCGAATCTTTTTTACTCCTCGCAATATATAACAATAATCTATTTATGAACCCGACTCGCCTCTCATAAAAATAATCGAACGTACCGCGCTCACTCGTTCAAGATAAATATTTGCGCTGTAAGGTACATACGCGGGTACAGAGTTCAACACCTGTCGAAACGATTCCCGATATAACGGGAAACGAAGATCGAGGAGTTGATCGCAATTTTCCGTAGAGTGTAAAAACGCGAAAAAATTTCGATGGAATCGGGAGGTACAATCCTCTTCCCTCCCTGGTCGGAAACCACCGCGAGTTTGCCGAAAAATATTCCGTCGTTAATTAATTGGCGACGAAGTTTCTCTCCCGAGCGTCGTCGTGCGCGAGTCAGGAAGATACGTCTTGGCCGCGCGGTGCAGCCATACGGTACGTTCACCAATGACCGAGTGGCACGGATCCTCTCTCGCATCCTTTCCTCTCATCTCCGCGTCGTGTGTGTGTGCGCGCGATTCTCCGCCTGCAATGGGAGTCGAGAGAGCGCGTCTGCAGGTTCCGCGTGTACACCGTGAGGAATCTATCGCACGGCGTTTCCAAGCGGCTCTCCTTTCCTCTCGTCGGCGATACATTTATTAATAGTCGTTGCTTTGACGATGACGCCCGTATCGACGACGACCACGGCCTCCTCGTGACGCCAACGATCGACGCGCCGAGGCTGATGAATCAAGCGAATACCCGCGAGTATTCTCTTATTTTCGTCGCTTCGTTATTTTTCAACGTGTCAGATCGATCAGATACCCCGCGTAGAAATTTTCCCATATACAGCACAGATTAGAACACCCATTTTGAGCATCAAAGGATCACTTAATGTTAATTTCGACTCGAGTTCATCGTGTGATACGGTTCACATTAATAAAAACTCACTCATCGATCCGATATATCTCGCTATCCGTTTGTTTTGAGGGAAAAATCTTTTCCGTGATAGACTTTTCCTTCTCTCTCTCTCGTTCGGTTGCGTTTTCGTCGTGGCAATGCGAATACAACTGCGGAAATCAAACGGAATTCCACTTGCATTGCGTTACGCCGCATTCCCTTCGATCGGAGCCTCCTTGTACTTTCTAATTATGCTCTCGCTTCTTGCCCGCGCGAAGGCGCCTCGGTAACGAACGCAGTCGGTGATATTACGGCCCGTGATTTTTTTCGCAACAACTATTTTCTCCCATTTTTTTCAGCGCCGCTTCTGTGTTCCGCGCTCGTCCACTGGGTAATATCGAGGTGTTCCACGGTAATAATATTCCTTATTGCGATTTATTAATCCCACGAGACCGAGGAATCTCCGCTTTAGTTACACTGAAGTGCGTTATGTTGCGCGAATTTAATACCCCGAACGCTTTTTTCATGCTGCAAAGTTATTTCCATTTTCTCTACTTGAAGACTTAACGTAGAATTAAGTAGATTTAGGTCCGAACGCGCTTACAACGATGTTAGCGCGTCAACTTATTAATAGTTCTGAGTAAGTATTTCGCTGTAAAAACGCGTAATTATCGATTTTTCCCAACAGAGTATTGTTATGATCGCGTTTACAAAGGAAGCGATACTGAGAATGATTATATCTTTTAACTTGATAGCGCGTTCTGAATACGGGCCTTAATATAGGAACAAAATTTCGACGCGGATAAACTGAGAAAAAAGAGTGAATCGGATTGAAGTTCAGTAATGTTAATAATGAGGTAAGGAGCGTTCACGATAAAGTCTCATTCGATTGGAAGTAAATTCGCCATTCTTACTCCGCGCAATGGTAGAACGATAAAATTTACGCTCATTGGAATTGATGTTTATGAGTCCTCGGTTCTGCGCAGGAGGGTGGTCGTTGCGCCGGAACTGGTTGCGGAATCATCGACTGCGCGGTTCCGATTACAAACGATCGCCGCGTCGCGTTACGTAATAACGCGCGTTCGCCGATGATGACGATGATGATGATGTGGCGGATGAAGGTGAGGCGATATTACAGGATCGATTAAAGCCGTACAACGAAACATTACTCTTTCTCGGCTTTCAATTCATCTCGTAATTCAATGACTACGACACGATTGTTGTGCGTTTTATCTCCGTTATCATGAAACGATATTAAAAACATGAGAAAAGGTAAGATAACTCACTTGGATTTTCGCAGTAAAGTAAAAGTTAACCAAGTGAATTTTTAATTGATTAATTATTGAAGCTACATGAGAATTAAATAGCGCCATTCGTTATACTATATCTATAATAATAAGGTCACTCGTTCTCTCACGCTGTACGGCGAAGAGCCAAAAACAACACGTTACTTTTGCCGATGTTAATTCCGCTCGAGCACAAACGGCGGATTAGATGTGCCTGCAGGGACAATCTGCGCCGTAACTCTTCCCCACCTTCGACAGCGCCGTTATTATCCGCGATGGCACCGATCGATTCCTCACCGTCTTCGTCCTCTCTTCGCGAGTTCACGTCGTGACGGTGACTCGACGTTACTTCGCCGGTACTGTGTGCGCACTGTTTGTTTAATCTCGCGAAGCCCCCGTGGAATTTAACGGTAGATGCGCGTCCTTATAAAAAGGACCGCGTCGTTGTGCTCGCGAACGATTCTCGTGAGATCTTCCCGCTTCGATCGAAGTCAAACGAATAACTTTGTTATACGCGTGATTACGCAAGACGGGAGGAATCTCCTGCGTATCTACTCCGAGATGATCGTAAGTTTCGGAGAAAAATATTCACGGGATTGATCGTAATCCCACTTGCAAAACGCATCACGAGCCTC